AGCACATTAGCAGGTTGCCGCTGGTGGGAATATTGTTTTCTAAGGGATCGTTTCCCAACCTCTGCACTTTCTAGGTCAGACAGTCCTTTGGTGGGGGCTCTCCTCGGCCTGGTAGGGCATTTTGCAGCATCTCCAGCCTCTACCCGTTAGGTGCCAGTGCACCCCCACCCACCCAGGTGTGGAAATCAGAAGCGTCTTCAGACATTACCAAATGTCTCCTAGGAGCTGTCCCCCCTGCCCCCACCGAAGAACCACTGCTTAGGAGAAATGTGAGACCTAAGGGAAGAATCAACCTATTGTTAAAAGGCAAAATGACAGAAAGTCATTAGTAGTAGTAAAGAAAACTACAAAAGGGGATTTTACACTGTCCTACTTTTTAGAGTTAAGAGGAAAAGAGGGAAGGAGAAAATTTTGTGGAACTTTTTGCTTGACATACGGTAGTTTCTAAAAATTGTCCTTTAAGTTCTAATAATATTTATGGTGCCACCTCCCCCAGTCTTTCCCCTTCCATTAAAAAACCCCAAAGACTATCTTACCGTAGACACAAATATACACACACCCTGAAAGCAAACTAGGTCAGGAAACCAGGACTGTTCATCATATGGATTCTTCAGTGAGGATGTCATATTTTGATGAGCCGTAACATAACAAGTCCTCTGGCCCTTGATTATTCTAATGGGCGCACAAGTACTTGTGCAGAGTGGTCTTAGAACAAAAGACTGTTTAATAAATACATTATGAAATCTCTTATTTAAAATCCCCAAACGTGCTAGCAGCTTCAGTGTAGAATTTATATCAGATCTTCTAAGTAGTACTGGCTACACATGCACCTTCTGCCCTTGAAAAACTAACTGCCACTTGTAAGTTCTGCATTTTAAGAGCTAATTTTACTTTTGAATTTCTTCTAGGTCCTATATAGTATAAAAGAAACATCCTCCCCTCTGTTGGATTGTGGAACCACTATCTGCATGTTTCCATGAATATTTTGATTCATATTTTAGACCAGTACTGCCCAAGAGAAATACAATGCAAATCACATATATTTAATTTTAATATATTTCATTTACCCCAGTACATATATCCAAAGTATTATCATTTAACTCATTGAGATATTTAAAATTTTTAACATTAATTATTCCAAAGCTGATTTTTAAAAAGATTTTATTTATTTATTTTTAGAGAGAGGGGAAGGCAGGGAGAAAGAGGGGGAGGAATGTCAGTGTGGGGTTGCCTCTTGTGCACCTCCCACTGGGGACCTGGCCCACAACCCAGGCATGTGCCCTGACTGGGAATTGAACCAGTGACTCTTTGCTTCACAGTCCAGTGCTCAGTCCACTGAGTCGTACCAGCCAGGGCCAAAGCTGATGTTTTAATACCTCAACACAAGCCAATTCAGACTAGCCACATTCCAAATGTTCAATAGCCATACATGACTACTGGCTATGGTATTGGAGTACAGTTTGGACTTCATGATGATTTCCAAAAGTTCCACATATTTCCACTACAGGAGGTCCATAAATGATACAGTGGGCTCTCTTCTGCCTTAGAGAGTAGAGGTAGCATACCAGGACATTTGTCCAACTGGAAAACTGATGCTGTTATGTTCCGTTCCATTGACTACACCATTCTCTTCTGTTCCCCCCTCCCCAAATTAATGGTGACATATGTCATGCTAATTTGGCTGGATTTTATCTCTCTGTTTATGAACCAGATTGATGTGGAGCTGTCCTTCTAGAAATCCAATTGCCAACAGTTGAGGGTGCCCTGAGACAACTGGCCCATTGCAGTTCACATGAACTCCACTAGGGGGCCTTCTAGTCATGGTTGCATAGTCCCAGATTGTGATTTAATCACTTTACAGCAGAAATACTAGAATCAGAACTTTCCAGTTTAGGAATATAAGGTAAATTTTGGAAAGGCAATCTTCATGAGTACAAAAAAAAAAAAAAAAAGAAAAAGAAAAGCCTTTCAAGTACACCTCTGTTCACACAAGCACAACATGGCTTTTCTCTCAAGAGGAATGATCCATGACTTTTCTGACCTCACTATTCTAGAGTCAAATGCATTAGTTTCCACTGTCTCTATTTTAGTTATTTGGACAAACTTCTGTTTCCTTCAAGGTACTTGAGCTCATGAGGGGGAAAAGCATCTTCTCACTCGGGGTCTAACAGCCTGGAATGCAGATGACTCTGCCTCTTCCTCCTCCTCCATTTAAAACCTCAAGCGCCAAATGGAGAATTTGCCAACTGGCTCTTTTCTCTGGCTCCCAGGAGGCTCCGAGCTAAGTTGGCAGAAGCCGAAAGCATGAGGTCAAATGGCTTGTTTTATAGCCCTGCTCTCTTCTTGCTGAGCTCTTATTCCCTCTTCTAATTATTGCATTGTTTGCTACTTGTTTATAAGCCACCTCAAGTCATTCTGGAACGATAGTGGTGGTGTATAAATAGATATTAGTCTCTTTGCTGTTTGTCCTAATAATTGCGTCTTTGATATTGACTCACATGCTAAGTGAAATTATTTCTTATAATAGTGTTACTGGAAAACAGACTCAGACACGGTTCAGGGAACGGAGTAAGCCTTTATTCACGCGCGCGGGCTCAGAGGAGGCAGTCTCCAAATTCTGAGCCCTGAACTGGGGTTAGGCTGGGGTTTATAAGCCTTAGCATTGGGTGGGAAAAGGACCAGAAGGTCCCGGGCTGGAAGGGAGCGCAGAAGTAGATTGTAAAGGTCAGCCCTTTGTCTGAGGGCTTATTGCAGCTGGCCGCGGTTCCTGGGGCTAAGCAAATTTACAGAAGCGAGAGCAGAGCTGGTTAATAGCATCGGGCTTTCTGGTTTTGGTTTTTCTTCCCCCTACAATAGAAGTTGACTGACCACATTCTAACTGGCTTCATCTTACACGGTGATATGGCTAAGTCTCGTGGAAACTCCAGTCAGGGATCATCTGTCACAAAACTTAACAGGGAAAACACAGTAAATATTTGCCAAATTATGTAAATATTACAGGTTTTAGCAACCTCCAAAAATACATACGTTATTTTGGAATATTCACTTCAACTGCAAAGATTTGCTTGCTTTTCAGAAATAAAAACTACTCGTTCTCAAGGGCTTAGGAATGCTGTAGAGTACTGTCAAAAATGGGATATGCCCATTCTTGAAATCAAATTGACTCAATACCTGAACTGACATAGCAAGAGCGTGACTGTGACACCGGGCAAGTCACATCTGGGGAGGTGAGGAGTGATTGGAGTTCTGAAAGTTGTCACATTTTCAATGAAATTATAATCATTAGTATAACATTATTTCAATCACATTTTCTTTCACTGTCATACTCTCTTCATGCCCAAGCTTCTCCCTTGGGAATAATAAGTCCTCTTTGATAACATTTCATTCAGGTCAGTTTGCTTCATTTTCTCCTCAGGGCACTTCAGCGCCAAAGAACGGCTGCTCATGCGGCATCTTTCCTCTCCTGCGTTAGCTCTGCTCAACACACAGACATGCGACGGGCGTGCCAAGGAGGCCACGCTGACTGCAGAGCCTGGGGATGGCTCCATTCCTCGCCCCAATTTCTCATGTGATACTAGACTTAATCTACCCAAGGCATCGGACAACTGTTTTGCCATGAGACAGGGGAACGGATTGGAGAGAGATGGAGCAGGGAATGTACCAAACCTAAAACCCCCAGGGGGCATCGGAAGGGCACTGCTCGCTCCTACAGGCAGAAGCGCCTGTCACAGGGCAGGGTTCAACAGCCTTGGTGGGTTAGACCTTCTGGAAAGAACTAGGGCTCACCACCGATGCCTGGCCCATCCCTCCTTTCAAAACATCTTAGAATGTCCCAAGAGAAAAAGGGACAGTGTTCAGACTGATTCTCCCAGGAGTAAACCATGTGACCTATGCATCAAGCTGTGAGATCTACCCAAGCCCAAGTACTTTGCACTTCACCTCACTTCCCGAGTCCCCTGGCTAGACAGGACTGGCCAAGGTCATTCAAAATTTTCTTGGAAGGGAAAATTGCCAGTGCGGAAAGCCAGGCCACAAGGAACCCAAGCAGTGCCAATAAAGTTACAGGGCACGTAAGTAATTTTTACACTCCATTTTCTGCTGCTGCGTGGCCACCAGAGTGGATTGTCAAGAGAATGAAGGAGAAGCACTATCCCACAGGTGAGATTTAAAATGCAGCTGGTAAGTCAAGGAAACATTGTTGTCTGAAACAGCCATAGAGAAATTGTAGGTCCTTAATAACTGAGCCAAAATATACCTCTTGGTCCTGTTTCTCAGGTATTTATTGTGTATCAGAGCCACTTATGTGACTTCTACTCCAAAGTGATTTTGATGTTTTTTGCCAGTTTTAACATCTTAGGAAATCATTCAAGCGCTGACCCAAGACTGTCTTCCCATAGACTTGGAAATGCCATCAAGATGCCAGAAAGGGTACGTTTTTAGTCATGTTTATTGAAGCATAGTTTACATTTGGTAACACTCACCCCACATTTGAACACTGCACTATAACCCCTGTCATTAACCGTTGTTCAAAACTCCCCACCGCCTCCCTGCAACCAAGCCCACCGCAGCCCTAGGAACCCATCAATCTGTTTTCTTTCAAAGGGGGAAAATTTAATCACCGAAGTGCTCTATTATAGAAAAATCTGTAAGCATATAATGCCAAGTTTTTGGAACAAATAATCTTCATAACAGTCAAAAGAATGGGATTTTAAAATAACCTTGTAAATTAAAGCACAGTTGACAGAGTTGTCTTAAGATTAAGTACAGAACATCGAGGCTAGTTACTGCGTCAAGTGGCAGGCTGGGGCTTGCTTGTAGAGAAACTTTAAATAATGGAATTGAATTCTATGGAAAGTCTCTGTGGGGGAGACATACGTCTTCCAGATGGTTGACACCTCAAAACTGCCCCCTGCTCTTACCATGAAAGGGACAAAGAAAGCAAGAGCCACTCTTTTGCATATGTGAACTCCCACATGTTCAAATACACCTTACCTACTTGAAAAGCTCCTTTCAACACCACAATTCTGTCTTTTCAAGCACCGGCCCTGTAAAAGAGGTATCGCAGTGAGTAATTAGATTAGCGATTACTAAATGACATGCTAGTAAGAAAAGTTTGTTCACAAACCTGTAGATAATGGAATTCCCCACGATTTCACATTGCCAGCTCAGACACAGTAATGTTCTGACATAAAATGCAATTTTTTAAACCCAAAGTCCCATCTTATGAATGCTAACAATTCACCTCAGCCTTCTTTCAAACTCAAAATGGTCACCGTTGGAAAAACATTTTGAGAGATTAAATGTCAATCACTTAAACATACTTTTTAAAGTGGGGAGGACTGTGACTGCATTTAATAGACTCCTGTCTAAGTTGGCCTCAGGTAAATCCTTTAACCATCAGAACAGAAGCATGTCCAATCAGATTAGACTTCTCATCCTTGGCCAAGAATTCTTCAAGGTATTTAACAGCAATCCAAATTCACTCAATTTACCTGAAGTTTGTCCGCGTCTTGAGCTGGACTGCGCCTGGTAGGAAAGTGAGAAGAACAATGTTAAGAATATCATGTAGCAACTTTTTATGTTTTGTTTTGGTAAAAAAAAAAAATCGTTTATTGTGGCTATCTCCTAGCTACCTTTGATGAAAAAAAAAAAAAAAGCTACTGCTGAATAGAACTCCTATTTTTAAAAAAGTTACATTCTCCAAATTTCCCGACACTTGGGAGTCTCCTGTAATTTCCAGCCGGGAGTAAAGTGAAGAGTGAAATAAATTCCTATACTCTGGGAATCTAACAGAATGCCAGCAGCCACCGCTTTTCCCACCTTATCTCTTGTTACATGAGCATGGAATAATATCAATAACAGGAAAAAAATAAACATTTTTGGCAACAATTACCTGCCTAGAAAAAAACAAAACAAAACAAAGCTGTGACTGACTAAAAAACCATACAGCGCCAGAAACCTCTTTGCCCAGGGGCAGACGCGGCGCCCAGTGGGTCGAGGAGAGAGGTTCTCAGTGCTCAGCCCCCACAGCCCTTGGACACGGGGCCAAGCCCCGGCCTGTTTGAAACGCGGCCTGGATCGAATACACGAGTCTCTCTCAGATGGAACTGTTTGAGCAGCTGGGCTCCACACCTGGACCTTGCATTGCCCTGTGTCCCCAGGCTGCTCACCAGAGACAGAGGTACTGGGGCAGGGAACATCGTCCGCGTGCCTTGGGGCCCATATGTGTCTGAAAAGCGGTGCTTAGAACACAGCCTGCAGCACACTTTGTCTCGCTTTTTGAAAGCATGATAAGACTTGGTGTCCTGTTCGGTTGTCTAATCCGTAAAAGGATCTTTGACAACAGAGGCCCATGTGCCTCCCATTTCAAAACATTCCTAAGTGGTCCCGATGATAGCTCCAGTTCCTTCTTTCCCTCACTAAACTCTCAGTTTAGACCTTTAATCTGGAGAACGTGTTCCAGAGCCATATGTAAGAGTAACGAACCCTTAAAATGCCCAGTGAGCTGAAGAACGCCTCCCCAAAACTTGGTACTTCCTTGAGACCAAACTTTTTCCAGGGCAGCCTTGCGTGTTTCTCTCGGGGCTCGCAAGACGTTCAGGTTTTCTCCCAAGACTGGCTTCACGCCCTGAAAACGTCACCCGCTCCCGCAAGACTCACCCCCAGACCTTGAAAAACGCCCAACCACCGTGCGAAGGGGCAACTGAAGAGGCATTTGTGCCGGGAGAGTGGCTGTGTGGGCGAAATTGCCTCCGTTTGTTGCTAACACCGTTATTACTCGGCTCCCCACGGATACTTAAAGAGTTTCAGATCCGTGTTCTCACCCGTTTCCTAAACTGGCTGCGTCCCCCGGTCGGGCGGGGCCGGCGAGTGCGTCCAGGACCCGGACACCGCCCGGGCTCTGCGCCTGCCTCCGCCCCGGGCCAGTCTTATATTCGAAATGCTATTTCCTAAAAAAGGAGCTTGAAGCTCCCTGTGGTCCGATCCCTTGAGCGGCGGGGTCACAGGCACGAGAGGTGCCAGGAGCCTGGGGAAGGCGGACATTGGGCGTCGCGAGGGTGCTCCGCAGGAGGAAGGGTCCCCAGCACCACGAGGGTGTCCCCACCCCAGAGGAGCCATCAGAGAGGCTCCCCCGTGAGTCCATCCCCCAGGCTGGTAGGGCCTCTCCCGACGGGTAGCCGAGGTGGGGCCGAACCCCGATCTTGGTGGCTCAGACGGGGCGCGCTCGGGGACACGGAGGGGCGCACCTCGTGTCACCGGAGAGACCCCGGGCCACGTGGCTGGCTCCGGCGTCTGGCCAGTCGGAAGCCACTTACCGAGTCGCGCGCCGCGGTCGAAAAGAGAGGGCACAGGAGAGACCAAGTTTTAAAGGAGACTGGGCTGTCAGCACCCCCAGGCAGCCAACCAAAAAGTTGCCCAAGTGCCGCTCCCTGCCCAGCATCCGCCCCCGCCCAGCTCGGGCCCTGCCTGTGGCTCCCGTAGGCTCGCGTGTGCCCCCTGCCGGCGGCCTGGGGAAAGCGGGCGAGCCAAGGCCTAGGTCTCCCAGCCCTGGCTTAAGAGACTGTGGACTCCGGAAAATCCAACCAAGTATCTTCTTGGGTGTGGTGTCCATTTACCTTGCTGCAAGTTCGATGAAACTTCTAATATTCAAATAATGTTAACTATCCTCCGCGCCCCAAATATCCCATGCCTTCCCCCAGGGCATTCTGCAAGTCACAGAAGCTCTCCCCGGCCTTGCTGTTACATTTAGTTTTATCTTTAATCTGTACTTGAAATTTTGAGATTTGGGGCTTCCTAAAGCACTTGAGATAATTTGGGTTGGAGGGACTGTTTAGTGCAACAGATATTTACCGATTGCTGACTGTACCAGGCATTGTGATGGGTGCTGGGGCATGAAGTTGAATGAGAAACTGCCGCTGCCCTCGAGGAACTAGTAAAGTGAGTTTCACCGGCTGACAGAAGCCCACAGAGTGTGCGCCAAGTGCACAGCACAAAGCCGTCAAGTCGGGCTAAGGAGTTTGTGAAGGCTTCCTGGGGGAGGGAGTACCTAGGCTGAGTCCAATGTCACCAGCAGGAATCTGCACATAAAATACAGGAGAGGGTAAAAGCAAAGGGGCCAAGAGAGTTAAAGAAGAATCATAGAGAAGATGTTATGGACCACCCAGGATCTTCTCGGTGGAGCAGAGCCAGCTTTAGGCCGTTCTCCAATAGGAGAGCTGCCACCATGGCGGAATATAAGCTCCATGAGGACTCTTCTGCACTGAATCCCCAAAATTCATCCCAGTGCCTGGAATATATTTGGGTAAGTGGGAAATGACTCCAGGGAAAGGGATTTGCAATTTATCTCCCAGAGTAGTTGGACATCACACTATAAAATTCTTCTGGCTCATAATGGTAGTAGTTAGTGGTGGGGTCTTATCCAGGCTGTAGCTCTCCTGGGTTGCCTTGGGTGTGAATTGATCCCTGCATTTCCAGGACTTGGCCTAAGCCTCAGTGCATCCGGTGCTTGGTAAACTGCTGGATTTCCTCTCTGGGTATGTATTTGGCCGGCCTTTCTCACACATGGCGCCTGCTCTAGGGCACGCCAGGGCATCAGGAGGTGTTAGGTACCTCTCTGCTGCTAGAGGGGGGCCTTCCCCCTACCCCTGCCCCCCTCCCCGCCACGCACACCGCCACCCGCCCACCTGGCCATGTTCTCTGCGGAGGAACTTTGGTTGAATAACACCCCTAGCCTCTACCCACACATTCCTCGTTCCCTTCCAAGAGAGGAAGGGATTCCTATTAAATCCTGTGCTAACATGAATTTTGAGAGCATGCAAACTGGGCTAGGCTTGTTGGCTTCCATCCCCTGCCCGTCCTCTGTTCCCAGTGATACAGGCTAAGATTCTCATCTTCTCTGATGGGAGGGGAGTCAGGGGGTAAGAAGTGAGCACTTAGAAGCCATTGAGGTTTTCCTAGGTCCAGTGTGCAGTCCACTGGAAAATGCTACGTGTCACTAGCTTTACCTGTGTGCTTTTTCGATAGCCCAAACCAAGTGACAGATCGTATTTCTCATTAGCCCTGCAACAACATGAGCCTGCATTTTATTCACTCTAAAGTTTTGGCCCCCATATGTTATGGCAGGTGACATCCAAAGTCTCGTCTTTCTCAAGAACAGCAAATCCATTTGAAGGAGATCAGCTGTGAGGATTCAAGTTCTTTTTCTTCCCTCAGTGCCCGGGATCAGTATAAGGAAGTGCGGCTCAAGGTTTGGCCTGAGAAGAGGGATAGAACAGACGCAGCTCTAAAGACTTGATCTCACAAGTAATAAAGCTAACATTTTAATTGCCATTTTTGTGTCTTACAGCTGAGGTGGTGCTGAGCATGGCAGGGAAAGCAAGCACATGATTTATGACCCTCTGCAAACCCTGCAGTTGCCTGATCCTTATTTCCAGGCGATCTGAAGTCTCCCTTGTTCTCAATGGACTAACATCAGACAGATCTAGGCCATTTGCTGTTGCAAATTAATGGGCCCATTCAGTTACTCTTGTCTCTGTGTTTAATGTGCTTTTGTGTTGTTGTAGTGTAGAGTCAGAAGATAAAACAACCACCAACATTATTTATGATTTAAAAGATCCCTCCAGTCGGGTAACATTTTAATTGGCATCATCGGGCTGTTTGCCCTGTGCAGTTCTGGGCCCAGCAGCCTGCCTTTTCCAAGCAGCTGCAGGCTTGTTTTCAAGCCAAGAGAAGGCCTCGCTGAGGCCTGTTGGTTTTATCTGCCTAAATAAGCTGTATGGCTGATCAGCAGTTATCGGGTGTGTAAGTCAGTTTGTGTCTTGGAAACCCTGGAATATGTACATGCTTGTTTCTGACCCCAACATGGGTACAAACAGGCTATTAAAAAAATCCCCTCTTGGGTTTGTTTTTTAACAAAGTTAAACACTGTTGGTCACAATACTTCTAAGAAACATATGAATAAAAGCGTAAAATAGAATTTTATTTAGTTACACATTCAACATATTAAATGGGTCACTTGTATTAATAAGAAAGATCTGGTCTGTTATAAAATAATTAAAGTAGAAACATGCTTTAACTTCACATCTTTCTGCAACTAACCTCTTATTTCCTTTTTTTCTTTGTAGCAAAACTCCTCAAAAGCATTGTCTACGTTTGTTTTCATTTCCTCTCCTTCATTCTTTTCTGAATCATATTACATTGGGCAGCTTCTGAGATGGTCCCCAATGACCCCATCTCCTGCTCTTCATGCTCTTGGGGTGATTGCCAACCCCCTGAGTGTGGGTTGGGTCTAGTGAATTTCTTTTAATGAAGAGAATCAGCAAAAGCAATGGGATGTTATAGGAAAAGATGCTCCACGTCTTATGTCATTAGGGAATTGCAAATTAAAGCAACAGTGAGAAACTGTTGAACTTCATTAGAATGGCTAAATTCCAAAACATTGACAATATCAAATGCTAGTGAGGATGTAGAACGACAGGAATTTTTATTTGTATTTGTTGCTGGTGGGAAGGCAAAATGGTACTACCACTTTGGAAGACAGTTTGGCAGTACTTTACAAAACTAAACATACTCTTATCATACAATCCAGCTATTGTGCTCCTTGGTATTTACCCAAAGGAGATGAAAACTTATATCCATGCAAAAACCTACACATGGATATTTATTGTAGCTTTATTCATAATTGCCAAAGCTCGCAAGCAACCAAGAGGTCTTTCAATAGGTGCCTGGATAAGTAAACTGTAGTACATCTATGTGATAGAATGTTATTCTTTGCTAAAAATAAATGCTCCATCAAGCTATGAAGAGACATGGAGGGAACTTAAATACATATTCCTAAGTTAAAGAACCAGTCTGAGAAGTTCACCTACTGTGTGATTCCAACTATATGACATTTTGGAAAAGGTGAAACTATGGCAGCAATGAAAAGATCAACGGTAGCCCAGGTTTGGGGCGGGAGGTGATGAACAGGAGGAGCACCAGAGGTTTGTAGGGCAGTGAAACTGCTCCAGATGATGCTATAAGGGTGGATACATGTATTGTACATGTGTCCAAGCCCATGGAATGTACACCACAGAGTGAACCCTGTGTAAACTATGGACCTAGGTTGGTAACGTTGTATGGGGGATTTTGGTAGCGGGAGAGTCTGTGTGCGTAGGGAATATGTGGGAAGTCTCCCTACTTTCTGCTCAATTTTTCTGTGAACCTAAAAATGCTCTAAAAAAAAATAAAGACTTTTAAAAAAGAAATGGGATGTCAGTTCAGAGATTATCTTACAGAAGACTGTAGCCACCATCTTGGGCTGTTCTCTCTGGCCTTCTCTCTCTCTGATTTCTTGCTCCAGGGGAAGCAGGATGACATGCTGTGAGCTGCCTATAGAGAGCCCCACTTGGCAAGGGGTAGGTGTCTTCAGTCAAGAGCCAGCAACAGTCTAAGGTCTGCCATCGGCCATATGAGCCAGCTTGGATGTGAATCCGTCCACGGCAAGCCTCAAGAAGACTCTAGCCCTGCTGACACCTTCATTGCAACCTTAGAGGGGACCATGGGACAGAGGCTCTCAGCTAAGCCACACCCAGATTCCTGATCCACGGAAGCCATGAGATCATAAATGTTTATTGCTTTAAGCTGCTAAGTTTGGGGAAATTTGTTGCGCAGTAATAGATAAATAATCCAGCCATCCTTCACTCCATGAGGCTGCTCTTTTCAAGGTCCACAGTGATTTGGGTCTTTGCCTTAGTTGTCCCATGAGTTTGAAGTGTGATCACCCTCTCTCCTTAACATACTCCCCACTTGGCTTCCAGGCCTCTACACTTTCTTGGTTTTTCTCCAACTTCGTGCCACTTCTCCTCGGTCTCTACCACTGCGCCCTGTCCACATTCCTGCAGAGTTCTCCAGGGTCAGTCCTCGCACCTCGGCTCTCTTTGATCTACTCCTCTCTTGACGCAGACTTTATCTCGATGTACAGTTCTAACTATCATTTTTACCTTATGACTCTTACGTGTCGGCTGCAGGCCTTGGCTATTTCCTGACCCTCAGCCTCATATGTCCAGCTGCCCACTCCAACATTTGCTCTCGGGTATCTAAAAGGCATTTTGAAATTAACTGAACTCTTGATTTTTCAGCCCTCGAAACTGATCTTCCCACCATTAACCCCACTTTGGTAAACAGCAGTGATTCTTTAAATGCTTTTGGCAAAAACTTTGGAGGCATCCCAGACTCCTCTCCTCTTGTACCTTACACCCATCGATCAGCAGCAAATCCCATCAGCTCTACCTTTAGATCCCAAATCTGACCTCTTCCCAAGCACCCTAGTTCAAGGCTCCCTTATTTCTCTCCTGATTATTTTAACAGACTTC